TGGAGATCCAGACCAGAACTTGGCTGGAGATCTTGGCTAGAGATCCTGGCTAGGCTGCTGATCAACTGAACACTGTCTCCGTGTCCTTCCTTCTTCGCCGACTCCATCCACACCTTTGGGGACCCCTGGACCTGCTGGGGTTGGACTCCGGCAATCTTTATTGTTGGAAGTATTACATATGTCCCCTTATTTTCTCCATTGACCCCTTCTGGCCCACCCTCACCTTCTGCCCTATACCCCCAGACCTTCACCACACTATTGTCTGTGTCCATGGGTTATGCATATATGCATACAAGTTCTTTGTTTGATCTCTTCCCACCCTAATGAACAAAATAAACTGAGGAAGTGGATCTTAACTGGGTCAGGAGGTCACCTGGAATACTGAAGATAGATGCAGTCCAAAGTCAAGCACAGAACAGAGCCAAAGAGGAGAGCCAAAAGTTGGCACTGGAATAGTAAGTCATCCCCCAGACCTACAGAACTAATGTGAAATCATAAGAAAAGGGAGGCTGCCCTGGCTGGTTTGGCTCACCGATTAGAGCGTCAGCCTGGGGACTGAAGGGTCCCAGGTTCGATTCCGGTCAAGGGCATGTACCTTGGTTGTGGGCACATCCCCAGTAGGGGGTGTGCAGGAGGCAGATGATCGATGTTTCTCTCTCATTGATGTTTTTAACTCTCTATCCCTCTCCCTTCCTCTCTGTAAAAAATCAATAAAATATATATTTAAAAAAAAAAAAGAAAGAAAGAAAGAAAAGGGAGGCCAAGAAGTCAAGAGCAGGAACCATGTGCTGTCTTGGTTATCATTGCATCCCCAGAACCTAGCTCATTGACAGCTCACAGTAGGCACTCAATAAATGTCCTATATTCCAAAATACAAGGCATTTGTTATAATCTTTCATTCACCTTTTATTCAAGACCTCATATTAAGCAACACTCTCTCACTTTTGTTATTGTAAACCACCAAGTAGCATTTGGAGATGACATATCAGGCAAAAGCAACATCCATCAATGTCAGTTTGAGGTACTAGAGAAGAAACCTGATATACTGAATAAATAAGGAGGCAATACATTTTAATAAGATTTTTTGAGGTTTTGACTTAACACAAGTGTTAGCTGTTATTATAAAAATGATTTTTTTAAAAACTGTTTTAAAAACAAGTAATGTAAAGATAAAAAATTGTCATCTACCAGATAGATTTTTTTTTGTTAATCCTCGCCCAAGGGAATTTTTTTTCCACTGCTTTTCTGAAAGAGTGGAAGGGACGGGGAGTGGGTGAAGAAGAAAGAAACATCAATGTCATCAGGGACTTACTGACTTCCTCACATGCCCTGACTGGGAACATGGAAGCAAACCTGCAATCAAAGAATAGAACCTGCGACCAGGAATAGAACCTGTGACCTTTCAGTGCCTACCACTTAACCATACAGGCTAAGGCTGGTTAGATTATTTTTGACTGTCATATATTTTGTGGCTTGGTGAGTAAGTCACAGAAAATCAAAAAATACTGCATCTCATGGCCCTGGTAAGGTCAAGACAGCACCAGTGAGGTTGAAATGGGCCCAGTGAGGTTGAAACAGCCCCAGTGAGGTTGAATCAGCCCTGGTGAGGTTGAATCGGCCCCGGTGAAGTTGAAACAGCCCCTGTGAGGGTGAGACGGCCCCTGTGAGGCTGAGACGGCCCCAGTGAGGCTGAGACAGCCCTGGTGAGGCTGGGACGGCCCCGTTGAGGTTGAGATGGCCCCTGTGAGGTTGAATCAGCCCCAGTGAGGTCGAGACGGCACCAGTGAGGTCGAGTCGGCCCGGTGAGATTGAATCAGACCCGGTGAGGCTGAAACAACCCCGGTGAGGCTGAAACGGCCCCGGTGAGGCTGAATCAGCCCCGGTGAGGTTGAGATGGCCCCGGTGAGCTTGCAATGACCCCGGTGAAGTTGAAACAGCCCCTGTAAGGTTGAGGTGGCCCCTGTGAGGCTGAGACAGCCCCTGTGAGGCTGAGATGGCTCTTGTGAGGCTGGGACGGCCCCTGTGAGGCTGAGATAGCCCCTGTGAGACTGAGACAGCCCCTGGGAAGCTGAGAAAAATACAACATGAACTCATTCATTTATGGATAATAAGGACCATTATAGACTGATAAACAAAAATGGATACAGAGGCAGAGCAGCATTGAGCAGAATGTCAAACTACAGTGGGAACCCTGGGAAGGGTTGGAGGGGGGGAGGGGTAGGAGATCAACCAAAGGACTTATATGCATGCATATGAGAATAACTAATGGACACAAGACACTGGGGGGTGGGGGAAGCCGGGGAAATGTCAAGGGGGGGGGGAATAGGAGACATGTGTAATACTCTTTGTAATACTAAAAGAAATAAAAAAAAATACTGCATCTCAAATAATAGAGAGGAAACAAAGGTGATAAGCTCTAGAAAACTGTCGGTGGACTCAAACATGCTTGTAATAGTGATAAAGAGTACCTGAGTAGCAAAACCAGTATTTCTAATTTACATGATTTTACATAATATATCTTTCTAAATATGCATGTATAAGATAAATTAATGCATTAAATACCAGTAGACATTCAACAGTTTCTTGTAAATCACTAAAACTTATATATTCAAGCAATCAAAACAGATTCCCCATTCTCCAATGAGATGATTCATAAGAAATGTTGTTGAATGAAGTAATGAATGAAGGTATAAATAATCTTTAAAGACTGAAACTTATTTAAGTAGTAGCATTAAGAATAGTTTATTCACTAATGCATTGAGTCAACATTGATTGAGCTATTTGGGTGCAGGACTCAGAAAGGTTTGGTACCAAAGTCTGCGTTCCACTGGAATGCTGACACCTAAAATAAAAGAGAGAAATACTTTAGCTTTGTATTGTGAAAAGAATTTAAACACATAGAAATGTAAAAATATATATATATATTTAACAAACATCCATACCTCTAAATGCAAGTTATTAACATTTTTCCAAAAATTGCTTCATGTATATATTTTATTTTTGATGGATCATTTGAAAGAAAGTTGCAGCTGTGATAATTCTTTAACCACGTTTCTTAATACTTTAGCATGCATCTACAAAGATGAAAACATCCTTCTACATAATTATAATACTGTCATTCCAACTAAAATTTATAACTCCTTAATAAGATATATTTCCAGTTAATTTTTTGATTTCTACAGTTGGTCAAAATATGTTTTTTATCAGTGTTTTGGGTTTGTTTTTTTTTACAAAAACAAACAAGTGATTCAATGAAATACCACAACTGCATTTGGTTGTCTTTTTTTAAGATTTCTCCCTTACTCTTTTTTCCTCTTTTTTCCTCTTTTTTCCTCTTTTTTCCCATTCAACTCAAGTATAATTGACAAATAAAAACTGTGTATATTTGAGGTGTACAACATGATTCTATATAAGCATATGTTGTGAAATTATCACGATCAAGCTAATGAACACATCTATCACCTTACCTAGTTACCAAATTGTGTGTGTGGTAATAACACTTTAGATCTACTATCTTAGCAACTTTAAAATATGTTATACAGTATTATTAACTGTAGTCACCATGTTAGACATACTCAAAACTTATTCATACTATAGCTGAAGTATTGTACCTTTTTACCCACATCTCACCATTTCCTCACCACCATGCCATTCTTTGCTTCTGCGAGTTCAGCTTTTCTAGATTCCACATTTGACTGAGATCATATAATATTTGTCTTTTTTTGTCTGGGTTATTTTACTCAGCATCATGTCCTCCAAGTTCATCATGGCAGGATTTTCTTGTGTTTTATGGCTGAATAATATTGGTGTGTGTGTGTGTGTGTGTGTGTGTGTTCATAAGGTCATTCATCCATCAACAAACACTTAGATTGTTTCTGTATCTTGGCTATTGTGAATAATACTGCAATAAATATGGGAGTTGCAAACATCTCTTCAAGATATGTATTTTCCAATGGATATATACTCAGAAGTGGGGTTTCTATTTTTTAATTTTTTGAGGCAACTTCATACTGTTTTTCCTAATGGTTACACCAATTTATATCTCCACTAATAGTACACAGGGTTCCTTTTTCTCCAAACCCTTGACAACACTTGTTATCTCTTTTTGTTTTTATGACAACCATCCTAACAGGTGTGAGGTGCTATCTCATACTCAGAGTTGCATTATTCAATGCAATTTTCATTTGCATTATTCAACACAGTATGATTTGCATTTCCCTCATAATTAGTGATGTTGAGCACCTTTTCATATACCTGTTAGCCATTTGTATGTCTTCTTTGGGAAAATGTCTGTCTGTTCTGGTCCTTTATCTATTTTTAAATTGGGTTATTTAGATTTTTGAGTTGTATGTGTTTCTTATGTATTTTGGAGATTAACCACTTATCACATATGGTTTGCAAATATTTTCTCCCATTCAGATTGCTTTTGTTGATTGTTTTCTTTGCTGTGCAGAAGCTTTCTAGTTTGATATAGTCCCATTTATATTTTTTGCTATTAAAGACCAAGCCAATTGTCATACAGAAAGTTCCACATTGTGATTATATCATTGTTTCCTCATGAAGCAATTTATCATGTTCCTCTAGCTTGATATTTCTTGTGAAATGGAAGTTAGATATAAGAGCTTGACTAAATTCAGTTTAAATGTTCCATTGGTATATTGAATACTGCAACATAATAAGAGCACAGAGTGGCCAATTGTTCCAACATCTGTGATGTAATTTTATCATGTGGGTAAGGTAGTAACCAAGTATGTCATCTTGATATTTTATCATCTTGTAAAAACCTGGTTCCTCATTAACTATTCACTTAATGGATTTAACATCTGTTGAGAATGTTTACCTTAATCAATTACTTCCTTAGGGGATTGTAGAATAAAATGTACATTTCTGATTACCTCTTTCAGTGACCAATTTTCAAAAACGTTGAAAGTCCAAAATTTTAAGTCTCATACTTTATTGTAATGGGAGAGTACTAACCTTCGATTTTCTTCTGTTTTCAGCAAAATGGGAAGCCACATTTTTATGAGAAGCCGGTTGTTGAATCCTTTGAGGAAGCACCTCTTCACGTTATGGTTTTCACTTATATGGGATATGGAATTGGAACCCTATTCGGATATCTCAGAGACTTTTTGAGAAACTCGGGAATAGAAAAATGCAATGCAGCTGTAGAGCGAGAAGAACAAAAAGTACGTATGCACATCTCCCTGGATCTTTGTCAATGCTGTTCTTCTCTAAAATGTTCTCGCAAGTAGTGATGCACTCTAAAAAGAGTGAGGAGCTCAGGAACTCCTCAGGGTAAATGCTATTTATTTCTACCCCTAGATCCCATCCCTTGTGTGTTCATGGACTTGTTTTATGCAAATATTTATTGAGTAACTACCATTCACCAGATAGTAAACTAAGAGTTTCTTCACACACTATCATATTTAACTTTTATAATAACCCCATGAGATAGATATTAAAATACTATTTTAGAGATTTTTAAAAAATCATAATATAAGAGCAAGACACATGGATGGGGCTATATTCTGGTCTTCTAGTTGCAAGATGTGTATTATTTATGTTTAATCCTGGAATATAAAAGTGTGTCTAAATGAGGTGTGAGATTTTTATTTTCTCCAAATCAGGGCTTTTCAACATTGGAACTATTGATATTTTGGACTGGATAATTCTTTGGTGTGGGAGGCTGCATGTGCATCGTAGAATCTTTAATAGCATACCTAGCCTCTACCCACTAGATGCCATTAGCACTCTCCCACATACTTGTGACAATCAAAACTGCCTCCAGACATTGCCAAATGTCTAATGGGCTGCAAAATCACCTCTGATCTAAATACTTTCGATAGTTAACCTACAAAAGTCTATATCATCCTCTTTTCACATCGAGCTAACAGAACAGCCTAGAAAACATTTAAAGATATGCAGAGTCTGCATTTTGTTAACATGATTTTCAAACTGGTTCAAATGATTTATGATATCATGAACCTTTTATTCCTAAAAATTGCTTTGGAATACTATGAGTGTGATCACAAATTATTTGACATGATGGAGCTTTAAACACATCTAAACAGAAAGGATAGGCAAGGCATGAATTTCAATATAATGAGGGAATCTCAAATCCTGTAACTTAGCAACCAGTACCTATGGTAAGATAAACACTTATTACAGTAATGCTTCCATGAATAAATCTCATGGGCATTTTTTTTTGAAATTGCCTTAAGTCAAGTGTATCACCTCCAACAGAAAATAAGGCCCAGGTTTATTATTATAATTCCTCCTACTTTTAGCAAGTATGTGAGCAGATGCTCTATGTCATGTAATGGCTACTAATATAGAGAGAAGAAAAGACAGTTCCTGCCATCAGAGAATTTGAAGCCTGGTGTGTAAAAACAGACTCATAAGCAAAGCATCTGACAAAAAGTGATGATGGGGAGGAGTGTGATGTGGGAACTGGGAATCTGTGTCCTGTGATCCGTTTTAGGAAGTCAGGAAGTCATGATGCTGGTGCTTGAATGGTGAGCAGGAATTTGACTAGTGATCAAGGGCACAAAGAAAGACATTCTCAGAAAAGGGCACTGCCTGTGCCAAGGTATTCATTAACTTGTTAATCAAGTCAGATTCTCTTTGAGCATGCATTTTTGTCAGCCACCATGCTACAATCAGGGATATAAGCATAACCAGGGCAGATAGGGTTCTTGCCTTTAGAGAGCTAACCATTAAAAAATTGCAATAGAATTTGATAAGAGATACTATAGAGGTAAGTAGAGGATGTCAAGAGAGCCAAAAAGAAAAAAACATGGAACCCGAACTTGGTGGTCAGTGAAGGCTTATGGGAGGAAGAGAAAGTTAAATTGAGATGTGATGGCTCAAGAGTAAGTAATAAAGGATAAGGCAAGATGGGACAGAAGGAGTCTTCAGGAAGAGGAAGCTTGGTGTGAAATGGTCCAGCTGTAAGAGAAAGCATTGTACATTCAAGGAACCAAGAATTCCAATGACTGCAGGGCTGTGAGAGTGGGAGTATGTGGGGAGAGGATTGAGAGGCAAGTAGGGGCCAGACCATAATGGGTTTTTATAAGCCATGGATATTTATTATAAGAACAATGGGAAGGCATTGAAGGATTTCAGGCAAAGGAATGCAGTTTTGCAGATTAGAAAGATCATGTTCATTACCCTATGAAACAGATATTGCAGGAGGATAACATAGAGACCAAAGAAACCAGTTAAAAGGCTGATGTAGAAATCCAGATTAAAAAAACAAACAAACAAAAAACACAAAAAAACCTAAGTGATAACTTGGGCTAGGACCATGGTAGTGATGATAACTGGGATGGTGATAAGAGATATTTAAGAAGGTAGTAGGAGATTATTGGATTGATTTGAGAAATTAGAGAGATGGACATATTAAAGACCACACCTAGGCTTATGACTTGGGCAGCTGAGGAGACAAGAAAGTGGTGTCATTCACTGAAATGAGGGATAGAGGAAAAAGATTCAGAGGAGGGGAAAAGTGATTAATTCATCCTTTGACAAGCTGAGTTTGAAAAAATGGCAGCTAGAGATAGAGATCTAGACTTCCAGAGAAAAGTCTCAGATGGCATCTTCCATATATCTTGAGCATATCAACATTAAACAAACCCAAAGAAGTAGATGAGCTCTCCCAAGGAAAGTCTATAGAGAAAAAAGAGAGAAAGGGAGAGAAGAGAACAAAAAACTTCAGAGAATTTTATAGACGTCAGAGATGGAATTCCAATTCTAGACTAGAAGAAAAGTGACACCAGAAAACCCTTATAATGGTTTAGGAAAGAAATAATTTGTGTTTGAACTGAGGAAGAAAAGGGAACTAATTTGGGAGATAGTATCAACAAGACTTGAAATTATATAGAAAATAATATAGAGGGAGGAATGCCAAATTTCTACTTTGGTCTGACATGAGGATGATAGTGGCATACCCATCACAACAAATGATCTTATTTTGGCCAAAAAAGAGGTCACAGACACAGTTTTGAGGTATAAAGATTTTTGAATGGTAAAGGATATCGAAGCAGTTAAATCAAGCAGGGAACAATTATCCATGCTCCCAGAGAAAGATGAGGTTTCCCAGGTCCTAGCAGAGCTGATAATGAACCTGGGAAGTTGGAAGGAGGAAGCAAGTTATTTTAAAAAATTCTTACAAGGATCTCCACAGCCTCCCCCCCTGACACCAGCTGGTCTATTCTAGAAGCTCTTATCACCAACCTGCCTGCTCCCTGGGTATAAGTAGCATGCACTAACTCAGTACATTACAGAATATTTGCTGAAACAAGGTGTCAGTCAAATTTAAATTTCTCAGGGTGGCATCACATGGCAGGTTTGGGCTTCAGATGTGCCATCTATCTTCTAGCCTGTTCCAATATTTTGGATTTTAGCTCTATCAATCCAAAGGGGCTAGTTTTGGGTTTCCTAAAGCACTTCTTACTTTCAAGCAGAAGAATACATATATATATATATATATATATATATATATATATATATATATATGCACAAATTGGTTCTCAGCACAGACAACTCTAAGATGGTTGAGGGCAAGAAGGTTATAGGGATGTGCTCCTGGGATCAACGGCTGTACACTTGGGAGGGAGTGAAGGGGAAAGATGGTGCAGGTGATTTGTGATGCAGTCAGGGAGATCTTGAGGTGGGAGGGCCCTTCAGAAGTGTTGAGAGAGGGGATTGAGCCTTCAATGATGATAGATGGGGGCTACCTCCAGAAAGGGATTTGACCTTGAGCCGGGCAGTTCCCTTCTTTGAGCTGTCAGCCTCCAACACTCTGAGCATTGGGGAAGGAAGGGATGCTTTAGTCCTAAACAATGAGATAGGCACAGGGCATAGCAGCCTGTCTCTAACACCCCTCACTATTGCTGCAAGAACTGCTTGAATCGCCTCTCAGGGAAAAGGCATTGCATTCAGTGAGACAGCTTGTTGTATTTCTTTACAAAATAAATAATGTCCCACCCATTTGATCTCTGTGAAGTAGAGAGCATCATCAGTCAATTGACTCTCCTTAATAGATATTCCTTTTATGTGGCACCCTTTTTATTATGTGTTTCTTCCTTTTGAGCCCTGTTAAATTAGAGGCTTTCAGAACAACAAGTCCTAATTAACTGCAATGGCTGCAATCACTATATACTTTTTTATGGGACTTAGTCACTAGATACTCTATCTCCAGGCTGACCTTTATGCTTTTAATATTGCCTCTAGCCCTGCACTTCTGACAGTAACCTTACTCTGTGAAAATAAGCTATCTGAGGCACATCTTGAAGTCTCTGGCTGCTTTTCAATGACCGCTGGTTCTTTTAGCTGAAATGAGCATTATTCTATTCTCAAAGCTGGTCATTAGGAGTGCAGAATAGATTGTCCCATAAGACAAACCTGCCATTCACAAAATGACATCAGGAAAGAAAGCATGTCCACAAAGTTATGGTGGTCAAGAGTTATTATGGTTTTAAAAATATGATAAATGGATGCTGTGACTTATGATTACACTCTTTGACTCTTAGTTTTCAAATTTTGATCTTATTTTTAATAAAATTTTATATGTTTAAAGTGTACAACATGGTCAAACTAATGGACATATCCTTTTCCTCACTTTCTTGTTAATCAAATATAAGCATTTTTTAATTCAGTTTCTCTATTTTCTCTCACTGGGATTACTTCTGTCATACCAAACCATCCATTCAAACTAAACTGTTGCCTAAATTTAGACTCCCTTTTTTATTTTTATTTTTCTTTATTTCTAACCCAAACTCTCTGAAGTTTATTCCAAAACATGAAGGCTCTGATTCATTAGTATAAACTAAATGAAAAGAATAGAAAAATAAAAATCTCTTTTCCAGAGAGCAGTAAAAAAATCACAGGCCCAGGACACCTGGTACCTCCCATAGACTCCATCAACAATCAGAAGACACTGGCAAGGAAAAGAACGATACAGACAGATATGTAGTTAAAGTATGTTTGCTTAAATCCTTCTTTTAACTTTTAATTTTGGAGAAACATGTCTTTTTTAAAATAAAAGGTAATTTATGAAAGTTGAATTGTAATTTATGAAAGGCCTCTAGGTTAATTACTTTCTCAATGAGGTAATGGCCCAACTTCTCAAAAACAAGAAGATGTAAGCAAATATAATCAAGTAAATGTCAAGCATCACCAGAGA